GATTAAATAATATTAATCTGATTGATCGATTTACCTCCCTATGTTTAAGATATAACCTCCGTTGATTAATTAAATTACTGACAAAGTAATTAATCAACTTCTTATTCATTTACGAAATTAGTACCACTCAGCCTTTAACCATTATGTCAGACAATTGTCTACCTCCAGGGTTTAACATAAAGTTCCTTTCTGAGCTCATTTCGGGGACGTCATCAATCCAGCGCACTGGAACATAGTGACTGTAAACAATCTATGATAGCACATCATATAATTATTCTTACTTACCAAAATACCTCGTATGTCATCCTAACAGAATAGGAATCATTTGGTAAATCAAATAAACAAGAAATAAAAATATATGCCTATTTTATATTATTTTATAGCTTAAGAGAACGCATCAATCACTGAAGGTCTAGGTTATGACAACGGTCAGTGAGTCTCATATCCTTATCCTTCCGTGGTCTTGTTCAACACTTAACATAAGTGCTAGTGTAATCCTTCAGTCAAAGACCAACTAAATCGGGAATACACTACAGTCTTTTTCCAAGTGGGGTCTCACTGCCAGTCTAGACTGTGAACGAATAGTTTAGTCTTATAAGGAACCGATAGGTGATCTTTCCGTTCGAAACTCTTCGAACCACACTATCTCAATATAAGACATGGAGTATGTATTGCATAAATAAATAAACTACAAACATATGTACTTTGACCGAAACATGATTTCCAGATCAAAATGGAATTGATAGAAACTGCAAAACACAGCTTTTACAACATACCTCTAACAACACGTGCAACAAAAAATTCACGCCAGGCCACAAGTGCAAAGGTAAGGAGGTATTTTTGTTGGAGTTTGAGGAGGAATGTGTTGGTAAGGAAGATAAGCCGCATGAGGAGTCTTTATTGCATATGGTCAAGTGCAAAAAGCGTGGTCCAAAGATGATCACATTCACAGCTGAGATTAGAGGTAACTTGGTGGAGGTATTGGTTGACAGCGGATCTACGCTGAACTTCATTGATGAGGAGCTATCCAAAGAGATCGAGATTCCATTCACAAAGGTTAAGCCCTTTGGAGTCAAAGTAGCCAACGGAGAAACACTTCGAGGGGATATTCTCTTCAAAGGTGTAAAGATGGAAGCTCAAGGTCAGAAGATGAGAGTGGATCTGTATGCCTTGCCATTAAAGGTGACTGATATAGTACTTGGATGCCAGTGGTTGGAGACTCTTGGTCCGATCACAACTGATTATTGGAGAGGAACTATGGAGTTTGGGAGATCGAGTAAGAGGGTTAAGTTGATAAATGAGGATCCAGGCGAGTTCCCCGACGAGAAAGAAGATGATGGTCGAGTCCGAAAGCTGAATTTCATTATCCTTGGGGACAAGGAAAGTCTTGAAGAGGAGGGGAATGATACGGAAGTGAGAGTCAATATCGGCAAGTCGAGTAAAAGTAAAGGGCTAAAGTACAAAAGGTGCGCATCGGTCCTTGATGCACACGAATGGGCGAATGGCTGGTATGTGGGCGCTTGCGGGGACGCACAGCAGATAGGGCGCAAGCGCGCATTGAGCACGGTCCGCGATGCGTGGGGCGACGCAGGCGATGACCGCGACCTGATAAGAGTAGGAGTGCTGGGTGCAACGCACGGGGCGCGGGAACACGACGCGAACAGAACGGTGGCAGGCGGCGTGTGCAACAAGCGCGCGATGGGTGAGGACGCGCCAATCGGCCCGAGAGCAGTTGACAGGCGCGATAAACGCGCGCGTGGGAGGCCAATGCCAGGAGTCCTAGACGGGGTAGGATTAGGCGACGCAACGTGAGGAGATTCACGCGTAGGTAAAGGCGGTGCAAACGGGGCGCGCGCTAGGGCACGCGCGTGCAACAGCAGCAAGGCGCGCGATGCCTCGTGCGCCAAGGAGTAGGAAAGCAAAGGGCGTGCGTACAAAGGCAGACGAAGGATTATAAGTTGGTTAGGGAGTTTTTATGCGCAAGACTTAAGAATCAAGTAAATTGGAGTGCAAGTCAAGTCTTTAGTAGTTATAGTAATTTTAGGATTTTATTGCCATGTTGCTTTTCATTCTAGAATTAGGAGATCTAATTAGCTTAGGCTTAGATTTTTTTTATGCATCTA